TCAAGGGGATGGGAGAGCCGAGTCTTGATCTCTGGTTGTTGTCAGATGAACCAGTCTGCCCATGCCGCCCTGACCTTCAACCCTCCTCTCTTTGCAAGCAATAGATCTGCCATCCCTTCCAAATCTCCCTTTCGCACTGGAAACCCCTGCTCCTCCAGCCTCAGCACATACTCAATGACCACCCTCTCCTCAGTTGCTGTCAACTTGGCATGCAGACTATGCATATCTGTGCGTGCTTTGACACCAGCCATTCTGCGCTGCAGTGTTGAGTTCAACACATTGTACTGCCTTGCAGCCTCTCGGATAGACAATGCTGGATTGGTCTTCATAGCGGCAAGAGCTAAGAGCACTCAGTGCTCATTGGAGGAGGGAGGCATGGGTACAACAGAGATGCATGACAATCATGTATTACAGGGCCTGTGATGTGACCCACTCACTGCTGTGACCTGCTTACTGCTAAACTACATTAATAGAATATAGTATCAATTAACAGATGAAAGACACACTAAATTCGAGTTGCAAAGTATCATGTTGTCAGAAGATAATTAAGCATATGGTGGGTAACTCTATGAATGGGAATATGCATATGGCAACAAGACATTCTCACAGAACTCCTCCCCACTTCAAAAACTCCAGAATCACCTTCAAAACACCTATAAGAAGTCTTGAAAAGGCCACATCTGCAACCTTTGCCAAGATGACCATGAAGACTATATCTCTCATTAGTACACAAACAGCAATCTCAAGCATAAGAAGATCTTACTGACTATGGCCACCACCATAACTCTGTAGAACCACAAGAAGGACACACCACGGTGGATGATCTTGATGACAATGCAAATGACCAGAATGACTGCCATGATAATGGAGCCTGTAACAGCTGAGGACAAGAGACAAAGGTCAATCCCTCGCTGGTATAGGCACAAGAACACTTGACCAATCCATGGGAACACCCTCCAGCTCCATACCATAGTTGAGCCAACAATGTCCCACCTGCCCATGCCAAAGACACTGATTTCTCCATAGATGATGTTGACAAAGTTAGTTGCTGAATGCCAACCAATATGTGCCTGGGCTTCTTGAACACGTTTGACACTGGGAGGCAACAGATCCCAATATGATGGTTCAACATGACCCAGTTCACCATTTGACACTCCCATATTCTGCAATACACAATTAGCTTAGAGTTTTGTTAGATACATAACAGATGCACTGATTCACTGCTGCCCTCCTTTGCCTTGGCAGGCAATGAAACAAGTGTGTGATGCTGTCCAGCTCTCACTGAGGAAGTCCCATGCTCCACCTGCTGCATTCCCACTCTTTTGTCCACAACATCTTCCTTGTTAGGGCAACACAGGCTGACTAAGTCTGCTCACCTAAGAGTGCCAAGAGTCTAAGCAGGCAACAAGGAAGTGGAGTAGACCTGATGACTAAGACCTATCTACAGTATAGGTATCTGTGGATGATCCTAAGAGACCAAGTCTGAAGAGACAGTCCCAGGCAGAGTAGGCCTTATATTTATACCTCTGTGGTGGAACCTGCTAGAACATCTTGCTTACTCAGCCTAGTCAGGTGATCAGGTCATATGACCAAGGATGAGGTCATATGAGGTCATGCACAGCCATGCACAGCA